ATTGTGGACCCATCCCTCTTGGGCCCCTGTGTAATCAGAGCAGGGGATGAGGAGGGGAGGCCCCAAACCCAGCCATTTGTTTTTGCCGCTCATGACACTCCTAGTTGTTTTCATTTCGCCATAACTGACCAATGGCGATACAGCGTGTCCAGCGGGACCTAACATGTGCTGCCAGGGTCGGTCGGAGACGGGAGCGGAGGTGCCAGGGGAGCGGGCCTTTCAGAGCTGCATGCCGTAACAAAGCCGGCCTGGCTGGGTCACACAAAGCCCATGACACTCCGTCAGCCTCCTCCGGAGAGGATGGCAGGACGGAAAATCTGCCGAGATGCCTGAGTCATCCGGTCGGGTCCAGTCCGGTCCCGTCTGCCCCTGACCCCCCTGCACCTAGGGTTAATTGATTCATCGCAGCGTGGCAGCAGCCCCTCCACTGGTGAGAAATAGGACTCTGCCACAGTGGACGCTGCCCCCTCTGTGCTTTGATGGGACTCCAGCAGTCTGGTACAGCCAGTGGGGTAAAGGCTGACATTGATTTGGGAGCGTGACCCTTCCCCGTGGGTCAGCCAGAGCAGGCTGGCACAGATTCAGGCATCAAGTGTGCAGAAACATGACTGTAGGAGGAAGTGATGTCACTGCCTCTGGGAGAAAACTACCAGGCAGAAAACACAAGCTGAAGGACAGGTGTTAAAGGAGAGTTTACTTCAAGCTTTTATTGTATAGAGTGGTAGCATTGGTACAAGTAAATAGGTTTTAGATGGAAAAAAATATTTAAAGGGATACATTTGACAGGAAATTAAAACTTTTTAAAGTTCTAAAATTCTGCAGTTTGCTTAGATGGCTGCAAATCAGTGGATCACATGCTTAGCTATAAAGCACTTCAATGCAGAAATATTTATTAAATTAGAAATAATTTAAAACGGAATCATATGTTGATTAAATTTGAGCCAATTAACAGACATAAAATAATTGTAGCCTATTCCAAGGACAAAATATTTGATGACCATCCCTTTAAGTTTATTTCAGTGTACATATAATAAAGCACATATTTACTGTAACCAGTAATCGTGAGCAGCACATATACAAGGGTGATTGGCAGAGCTAAGACTCTCCTCCTAGCTCTGATTGGCTGATTCTGACTGGGCGGTGTATTTCTGTTGGTGGCAGTAGGACCACAGGGAGCAGGCGGATTTTTCAAAGATGATCTGCCTCAGTGAGTTAACAAATATATTCCTATATTTAACAAATATGTAAATAAAAACACATTCTTCCAAATGTTATCTAGTGCAACTTTAACAGAAACTGTAAATGTGTTTTTTTTTTAAGGCTAAAACATCATTATTCATCATTCAGTGAATAAGGTAAAGGTAGTCAGAGAAGAATTATCTCATCATTATGGGAAGAAGTGCAGTAGGGGTCCATTTTGTTTTTCAGTTACTTGAGTAAATGTAACTAATTATTCCTCCTCAGACTCCAAACAGGAGGAGTTTCTCAGAGCCTATTTCATTTCAGCTGTAAACAGAACGGTTTGGCGTTCTGCCCTGATAAACAGGCAAAGCGTTGACACCAACTAGCAACTGGGTTTTCACCCATCCACGTTCCTCACTTTTAAAAGAACATCTTGTTCCCTAGCATAGAAAACCCATCCATCCCAACCACCCTAGCTGATAATAATCGACCTCCTTTTCTCCAACTTAACATATATTTTTCCCCTCAGATCTGATGGGAGAAGTGGAGGTTTTCCTCACCTGCAGTGTGGCTCCACGCAGTCAGGGCGCTCACGCAAACCAAAGCCAAAACTGCTCTCATGTTTCCACAGAGCTGGAAAGAAAAGGATAATGACTATGGCTGGGTTTCACAATAATGAATGAAAACCACTTCGGTGGCTAAATGCCGTTGCATGGAGCTACAAAGAAGACATCTTACCCAATTTCTGCCAGAGATGATGAAAAGTGGAGAGTTCTGTATGAGGAGAAATTCCAGGTCCTGTCCGAGGCGTGTGGGAGGAACTGGGCGCAGCAGAAAGCAGTTTGGGGGTTTATATGGTGGGTCCAAAGAGGGAGGAGATCAGACCCAGGACCGCAGGGAAGCTGAGTCTGAGAGAGATGAGGTTCTACAAGAGTGCAGGCAGACTGTTACCAGTTTGACCAGAATATTTTTGTCTTCAGTCAACTAGTTCAACACCTGTTCACAGGGCTTGGCGCGTCGATCTGTGCCTCACACATTTGGGGATTATTAGGTTTGAAATGCCAGTTACTACACGTGGGCTTTGGAAGGTTACATAACATAGTCTGAAGTTCACAGGGAGTGTGTGTGTGTGTGTGTGTGTGGAGGGGAGGTGTTGGGAAGTTCAGGAGCCCACAACTCCTGGAGAGAGAGTGTGTTGCAATCGGTCCTGGTGGAGCAACAAGACCTGCAGATGGAGGAAGACAGACTTAAAAAAAAACAACCAAACACCCCCATCCTCATCTCCAAGGCTGAACACAGAAAAGCCCCTGAACAAACATTTCAACTGAATGAAAGTCAAGAGGAGAACAGCTTGCTCTAGCTTCCAACTCACTGGGCTAAATTACAACCCAACCTAAAAAGTTCAGCTTGCTTCCAGTTCTCCAACCCCAGGTCTAACAGTTTGCTGCATTATCTCCCAAAGTCCTTCTTTTTTTTATTTTGGAAGAGAATCTACCAAATCTGTCCTACAGCTTATGCTTACAAACTGATTTATTTGCTCGGAGCCTCTGAGAACAGGCAGTGGTTTCAGCCTGAGAGCAGAAAGTGCATTCACTCCGGGACAAAAACATTCTGTCAGGGTTGAAGTGCTAGACGGGGCCTTGAGGTTTCAGTTGAGAGGGGGAGACGTGCCAAATTGTCCAGATAAATACGGCTTTAAGAGGGGCTCGGTGGTTTTCCTGGAATCCTAATGAAGCCGTCTTTTGTGCTTGTGAGCTGGCAGGACCAGAGTCTGTGGCTCTAAAACAAGCATGTCCTGCTTCACAAAGTCCTACGGATCTGAAGAAGGCCTGGCAGGGTCCGACAGCGCACTGGAGGTGGCCGTCAGCTTTTCACACCACCAACTGGACAATGGATGAAGCTCTGAGTGACAAACCAGTGTCCTGAGAAAGCAAGGAGGGGCCGAGCGGAGTCTGTCCGGATTTCAAGGCTCGGGAGAGAGGAGACGATTTGAAATTCTGTTCATCAGAACTCCAGCTTCAGTTCAAAGGTTTAGTCGGATCTCTTTGATAACTTATACAGGGTCCCCAGATTTATGATGATTTTTCCTCCATTGTTTTTATTAGCCTCCTTAGTCTTTTTTTTTTAACAATGCAGTACAATAATTGGACAACAGGAACATACAGTAGCTCATAAAAATATCCATACCCCTTTTCCATATTGTCCCATTACAATAAATATATTTCATTGAAATTTTATGTGAAAGACCAACACAAAGTGGTATGCAATTATGGAGTAGAAAGAAAATTATACATGGTTCAAAGTATGAGTGTAAAAACAATTTCTCTTAGGGCAACCAATTGCCTTCAGAAGTTGCCTGATGACCGCTAATGACTAAATAGAGTCCACCTGTGTGTAATCTAATCTGAGTACCGATCCAGCTGCTCAGATGTTGGTTAAGTGAACATCGGGGAGCAAACAGCATCATAAAGTCCAAGAGGCACACCAGGCAGGTCAGGGAGACGTTTAAAGCAGGATTAGGCTATGCAAAGATTTCCCAAGCTCTGATCATCTCACATACTCTACCAACACAAGGCAACAGCTGATCTGGCAACCAGTGGTTTGTTCTGGTTCTCTGAAGTCCAAAGGGTAAAATCATGGACATTATGAAGGATTCCCAGATATGGAATACAGTTTACCAGGCATTTCATTCATCCTCATCAGCTACTTGTATTGAAGTAATTTAAATCATGTAGTAATAATTTATGTCATTCATTTACATGCCATCTTTCCAAGCATTTAAATGGTCAATTGCTGAATCTTCACATTGGTGTAGTATGTGGAAACCAGTCCTTCCCTAAAAGAAATTTCCCCCTGTTCTAAAATCAGCTCAGAGAATAAACTTTAAAATACTGTTAGTTTACAAATCACTGAACGGTTTAGCACCAAAATACATTAAAGATCTGTTGTTGTACCAACCTTCCTGACCCCTCAGGTCTTCTGGTTCTGCTCTGCAACCCCAGAACCAAATGAAGAGAAGCAGCATTCAGCTTCTATGCACCACAAATTTGGAACAAACTTCTAGAAAACTGCAAAACAGCTGAAACACTGACTTCCTTTAAATCAGGATCCAAACACTACCTTAGAGTTGCTTTTGAACCTTAATAGATGGAACATTGATCTGCATATTTCATGTGTATTGACGATTTTAATGATGGCACTTGACAAGATATGTCTGTTATTGGTTTTTATAACTGTTGACTATATGTTTTTGTGAAGTTTTTTTCACAATGTAAAGCAGTTTGTACTGCTGTTTTACTGAAATGGGCTTTACAAATAAACTGAATTGATTTATGTGAATCTGGATTTTCCATCCTGTGGAACAAGAACCGAACATCATGACTATTCTAAAACAAAAAAGATAAAAATCCTCAAACCAATTTAAGCAACGTTCTAAAAAGTCTTAACGTAGTGAGGAAGACTGATCTTTTCTTGGTACGCAAGAAATTACAACAAACATGTTTTCCGTCTCTTAACAATCCGTTGAACTTGTTCTTTTTTTGCCCAGTCTCTTTGTTCTGGAGCATTCCTTGCTCCTGTGGGGGGTCTGTTCTTCTTTCTCCCCTCCTGCTGCAGAGGCTGGGAGGAGTGATGGCTGCTAAACAAAGACCCAAGCAGAGGACATAATTGGAGCTGCCAACACCAAGGCCAGAGGCTGGTTCATGTCAGTCTGCGTCAGCCTCAGTTTAGCTGCTCCGTTAATGAATCCTCCGGCTTTCTGGAACTCAGGCAGCTTCTGACAAATTTAGACACAAATGAAGCAAATGAGGTGTGAGGCGTTTCAGTGTTATCCGAGTTTTATTTATGTCATAATTACACATTGTTTGAACTCAATATTGTCTTGAGAGTTTCTGCTCAAAGAACTTGGACGGCAGGGCAAACGGAACAAACAAGATCATTCCCATCTTCCTTTAGTAGCACGGAGAAACGAAAACAGGGATCTGAACGCGATGCCCTGCTCCCCAACACGAGGTGATCCGAAAAGCGGCTAAAATCTTAAATCTTCATATAAAAAGCATTGATAAAATGGAGGAAATCAGTAGTGTGCTTAAAAAGGCATGCGGTCAACATAAAGGGCCGGGTCGAAGCGGCTCAGTTAAAGAACAGGGTGTCGGCGCCTGGACATGCCACGGACTACAGTCAACAGAAGAGGAGCTCAGTCCGGTTACAACAGAACGACTAGAATTAGTCCTTTAAAAAAAAAAAAAGTCGACATTTTCAATCCTGCATTGAAAAACCAGTCCATCTTTTTCAGCAAAGACAAGACTGTCAGCATCAAACTGTACATTTTTCTTCATGACATGCTATCATGTTCAAAATATTGCTAATAATAATAACGAGTTGGTAATGCCTCCACGTAAACAATCTAATTTATATCTAAAAAGTTCAAGCAAATTAAAAAAAAGTATTAAAATCCTATTCTCTAGTATCTATTGCTACTGTGAGGTCATGTCTAAAAAAATACAGAAACATGAGAGCAGGTCAGATTCAACACAAATGTCAGTTAATATATTATATAAAAACTTTTCACTAAAGTCCATTTTCCAACTTCCACAGGGCAGAGCCTGTTGCTTTAAAAGAAACTGTACCAGGTAAGGGGATGGTGAAGAGAACGGTGTGTGTGTGTGTGTGTGGTGGGGGTGGGTGGGGGAGTTTAAGGGGGCAACCAGAACCTTCTGCAGGGTGACAGTGTGACCGGTGAGTACAGTATTACAGTATCTGCATCCTCAGTGTGTAAGCTTGAACCAGGAAGTGAGCGATGGGAAGGTGAGCAGAGGGGGCGGGGCTCATCCCTGCCTCCCAGTTCCTGCTGAGGAAAAGCACCTCCTGGTTTCTACGAGTGGTGGTCGTTTGAGTTCAACTGAGACGGGATCAGATGCTCTGCTTGGTGAGACGGTCTGCTGGGAGAAACCAGCAGATATGTCATGTTAAAAAAAAAATAAAAAATCGGAGGAAATGGATTCAAAACAAGTTTCTAGCTGCGTCTCCCACCATCAGTTCCAAGTCGGCCCGTTCTCAGAGCTGCAGCCTGAAGAACAGTTGGGTGCTGTCAGCTGTCACGGGGGGCTGTACGTGGGAGGGGGGCTCCAGCTGACTCAGCAGGTCCAGGCTGCTGCAGGGACTCTGGCCCACGGAGCACGCTCCCTCTGGGTTCCCCCGCTCCTCCATGGGACCAGCAATTCCACTGCCAGTGCTCCCAGTGAAGCTGAAGCTAGCACTCCTAGCCTGGAGCAAACCCTGCAGCCGCTTCCTTTCCTGGGCCTGTTTGGCCCTGTTGGCGATGTAGCGGACCCTGCTTTGGCTCCTGGAGGAGGTCCGTCTCACCAGCGCCTCCTCGGCCTCCTGCCCCCCCGTGCCTCTGGCTCCGCCCTCCGGGATGAAGTCACAGGGACTCAGGGGCTCCACGTCGGTCAGCCTGCGCAGCTGCTCCGTCAGGTCGCTCTGCGGCCGGCTCCTCGGAGCGCTGCCCTTACGGAGAACATCTCTGCTGGGCCGTACGATGAAGCTGCGGCTGATGCTGCGGTACTTGCTGTCAAAGTTGCAGGAGATGTCCTCAGAGGTCAGGTCTCCGAGACTCTTTGACATGGACGGGGCTGAGGTTGCAGCGCCGCTCGGCCTTTTGGGCGACGCCTGCTTGAGTCCTTCCATGTAAAGCCGGCACCAGGTGTGCCTTCTTTGGGTCAGTCTGCCAGGTGACTCGTCTGCAGCGTTCTGGGCTGGCTGCAGTGGGCGGGGCTTAAGCTCGTCTTTGGGACAGCTCCTTTGCTGAAGGTTGGGGTTGGACTTGCTCTTGCTGACCCTCACCGTGTCGCAGGGAGGCGGCGCGGCATGGCGGCAGTCCATCCAGGAGGCGTCGCAGCCGTTACTGGGACTGGGCAGAACGCAGAGGCTCCTTCTGGCCAGGTTAGGTAGAGACAGGTCAATCACCGTATCGTTGGAGGAGATGCTGGAGGACGAGGACATGCTGTCCCTGTGGCTGCCGGGCTCCAGTTTGCTCCAGAGCCGGTCGTTCATGGTGGCGTCTGTACAGATCTCTGGTACAGCCGACTGGGCCGGCTTGGCTCCCTCCCCCAGAACGTGCCCTTCGCTCTTTGCCCGTCTTACTGGGACAGGTTGTGGTGGGGAGCTGAAGAGAGCTCTCCTGGCCTGGGGAGGCTGAGCAGCTGGGGGCCCCAGGCTTCCCGGGGGCCGTGTTTCACCTGGGGGCTCTGCTCTTTGAGGCCTTCTTTCTCCTGGAGCAAGAGTTTCTGGGGTTTTCCTCCGTTCTGGTATCTTCTCCTCCAGGGCGCCTCTTGTTGCCTGGGCGACTCGGGGGGACAGAGACGGTTCAGCCATCTCTGCGGGATTGTTGGGAGGGAAAGACGTGGAGGCTTTAACGTCTCTGCTGACTTTAGTGGTGCTGTGCGCTGCGCCATACAGGGGACTGCCGGCTGTAGAGGCTGAAGGAAGAGCTGATGGTGGATGCAGCGGTGTAGGAGTGGAGCGATGCGGTGACAGGCTCTGCTCTGGACTGGAGGCAGAGCGGATCAAACAACTGCTACTGGGATTTCCCCCTTTTAGTGAAGGAATGCGAGGAGGGGAGTTTGATTCCTGCACCGTGGAAGAGTCTGAGGAGAGAGCAGCAAAGAAACCTTAGTAACCACATGGAGTCCATCATCCTGTTCAGTTTAATGTTCACAGCCAGCTTTCATCAGTGTAATGCAATGGTATGTAATCTTAATAGCACAGTTTTATTTACGTGTCTGCATGTGTTTGGATGCGACCAGGAGACGGAACGTCAGCCATGACAGTACGCCATGTTTTCCCCGTGTCACTCAGTCAGGAGCTGAGATGCAACACTAAGAGCTGAGGAAATGCAGCAGGAAAGACCCGCTTCGCTCTCCGGCCTACACGACCCATCAGAACACAGCTGGACTCGAGCTAATCTGGAAAACCTCCTGCAGAGTGACGGCAGTGAGGACATTGCCAAGTTCCCTCCACGCATCACGACACGGTCCAGATTCCCTCCAGGAAACACGAGCTGCCAGCTCAGCCTCAGACCACGTCAGAAGCCAGCAGCGTGCTAGCAGACATGCCACGCCACGCCGCCGCCGCTTCCATACGAGTCTTTTCTACTCCCGCGTCGTCTTTATGACCTCGTCACAACCTGCAAATTTGTCTATTAGGCAAGTTCCTGCAGATGAACCAGCAACGGCATTGAAAGAAGAAACAGAAAAAGCAGCAGACTGATTCTGCATTTCAGTTCAGAATCAATACTTAAGGCTGTAATCAGTGGGCTAAACAGGTGGATCTAAAACAAGCTAGCTGGTTTTTAATACACTACATTATCAAGCTTATTAGGTCATCCATCTTCACAAACCCTCTAACTTATCATTCATACAGAAACACACCTCTTGGGTCAGAAACTGATGTTACACTGATGTCCAAAAGGCCTCGCTCTGAGTTTCTGCACCAATTAATTACAAAGTTGTTCAGTCAGGTTGAGGTCAGGACTCTGTGCTGGTCAATCAAGCTTTTTCACACTGAGGATCTCAATTTGAGCAATGGTGTGTAGAACATAGAGTCAATAAGGCAATTCACCAAATGAAACAGATTCATTTCACATAGACTTTATATCTGGTAGTTTTCTTACGGTTAATGAAAACATGACATTTAAGGTTAGAATATTAAATCTGACCAATAATAATAACAATAATAACAATAATAAATATACACTAATATATTAATACAGAAATGTGAATTTAATGAAAAGTATACTGAATACCTGCTTAAAGGTTATGCATAAAAAGTCCTTCTAATCTGAACAAACAAGCCTCATCAGAACATATTCTAATTCCTTGAATCTGTCTACAGCTGTGTCTCCACAGTGAAGCATTTAGAGTTTCTCTCACTGGAAATCAGGAGTTCACACCTGTGTGTATTAACAGGTGTGAACTATAGTGTAATAAATAACACTATGCATCAGAAGATTGATTTATCGCTTTTCCCATTAGAAGCAGAATATATTTGTTCCAATGTTGCAGCAGTGTGTAATGTTTCAATTAAAGTGCAAAAAGTGCTACATTTACTGTTAACACACAAGCAATAATTCACAGGTGAAATAGTGATGAGATGTAAATGGATGATGCTGAGGAGAAACAAACCATTTGAATTTCTGCATTAGACTGCAATCTCTCTGCTGTTGTGAAATATAAAAACATACGTAACGTAACCCTAACCCTAAAGGATAGACTTATTTCTATCCTTTGGACAGCCCCCCACCCCCAAAAACAACCTAAAGTCAACTTGAGGAATAAACTCTCCATCTCATTTTTGTTCGACCAGTCAATGTACAAAGAAAAGCACAGAATAGAAACTTTAATGATTTAGTTTATTACTAAACTTTAGAAATGCAGAAAGAAACGATCACTTTCCAAAGGGTTTAACCAGATCACATGGCTAAAGCTAGCACAGCCCTGGATGCAGTCACTATGCTGATTTGAAAGGTTCAAGCTTCTATCAGACATTAATTTGAGCCACGATTCTGAAAAAGGACACAGTGTGGTCCATTTTCAGAAAATAAAATAAATGGGTGTAAATGCTGAAAACCTACAGAAATTCTGATTTTATTAACTTGTTTAAACTGTCTACATGTTAGCATATTGTTATGTTGAAGCTTGCCACAGAGGAAGAACTCTACACCCCCGTTGCCATTAAAGACCACCCAGTTACTGAAAAACACCCACTGTGAGCCCACCTCGCCACTTTTGTACACAAATCCATGGAGGGTATTTCCCGTTTTCTCCATCAATCTTCTGGGATAGTTTGATTGTCGTCATTCTTTAGGAAACATTCTTCTGTTTTTATTCTTGTTTAAGGCTTTTTTTTTTTTAACTCTCCCCCTACCCCCCAAAATAAACAATTAAATAAATCCCATCCCCAGGAGCAAAGGGAAGATGGAGAAAAGATGGTTGGTGTCAGAAAGGACAGTGAAGTGAAGGTGTTGCAGTACTGCTGGCATGCATGTAGTGAGTTTACCTGGCTCTGGTCATCCCCTCAATTCTGCACTAGGAACAGAGAAAGCGTGCAAAGAGGAACAGAGAGGAAAACAGGGAATTATCCAAACTGCAACGAGAAGGAGGAAGAGAAGCAGGCAAGCAGCAGCTTGTAGGACAGAACGCAACTCATCAGGACATGTTGCTCTCTAATATCATGATGTTCTACACAGAAACTGGGTCTGGAACAGGCTTACTATAGCATACATCTGCCAACATCATATGACTATGATCTACTCCAGCGCAGACAGAGTAAACACATTCTGCTTTCCCCAAAAGAGCCATTTGCATATAAAATATCTCCATCACATGATCTACCAGCAGGCAGAGGGGAAGAGGGGGAGCATCAGGGTGGAACAGCTGGGTCCAACCAGAACAGCAAAACAAGGAAATCCATCATGTGAGCAGGAGGTTTCTCATGGACGCAGAGGAAACATCAGAAACTTGTGACTCTGAGCTCAGCCCATCACACAGGAAACCTTCCAGGACTCCAGCTTAGTAGAACATGGATATACCATGAGGCTCAGGAACGTTACAATTAATGAACCGGGTCGGAATGATTAAAGTTCCAAAATATACAATCCAGAACCACTGTTATATTAAAACAACAAAAAATAAAGGTCTAGTGTGAATGTTTGAACTACTAGTCCACATTACTGATGCCTACTAACTTAAACCTACTAAGTAAAAATAAGTGTACATATATAGGCTGCATCGGTTTCTAAGATGCACGTGTCCATGTTGTAACATGAGGTATTTACACAGAAAATTTGATTCATTTTTTAACTTTTAATGAAATGAGTACATACTGGAAAAATACAGAAATATACCAGAGTCTACTAAACGTCTGCCTAATAAAAAAATATACAGTAGTACAGCAGGAAAAGTAACTAATAACCATCTTCATCTTCCTTCTCTCTCACTGTCACTTTCATTGAAGCATATTCTATCGCAAGCTTGTGCTGTCCTCTTCATCACACAGCAGCCCAGCCTTTCAAAACATGTTGGTAGAAAGCTGCATGGTGGCTGCACCGCCAGGCGAAAACAGCAGCTGCTTATATTCCGCAAAATGTGGTTAGCTGCTGTCATTTCAACTATTAACGTCATGTTTTGTTAGTTGTTTTTCTCTCTATAGAAGCTACAACCAGCCTGGCGTTCTGCTTGGCTGTAGTACTTTCCTGGGAGGTTTTACTTTTCTTTAAAACAGGAAGTCTTCCAGCCTGTTTGCCAGTGTAGTTGCCACTACTGACTACTTGTCATGATGGGAATGCTCAAGCTGAACACAGATGTTCAGTGGAGCTGAGATCAGGGTGGGCACCAGGCCATTTCACCCTCTCAGAGAATCTCATCTTGATTTATCTGATCTGAGACTGGCTCCAATAAGGACAGGCCTTGGAGATGCCGACCCACAGCATCACACTGCCTCCACCAAAACCTGCTTGGTATAGGCAGAAAGAATCTTATACCTGCAAACTCGATTCTGTTGCTTAACCCCTTTTTCCAAATGTGTAGAAATTTAAGCGAGAATAAAGCCTTTAACATACAAAATATATTTTCAAGAAACATTCTTAAAGTGGAAAAAAAAAAAAAAACTATTTTGCTTTTTGTGCCAAATTAATAGAATCCAAGTAAAAAACCTTCATGTCTAGTAAATCAACATAGTGCTACAGCTGCTCTGGTTTGTTCAGAACTTTAGAGTTCTGAATAAAATCTGAGCCGTCTAATCAATGGGTTCACAGACCTGAGAATTAAAGAGCTGCAGTTCTCTGCTGGCTGGTGAAACAGATGTCTGAGAGCTACGCTTTGACAACGACATCAAACTAATCCCAGTTTACAAAAAACTTACCACTGTTCTCATCTGTTGAGCAGGTTGGTAACATCAGGAAGGAGATATTTAGAGAAACAAACCGAGTTACTTATTAGAAGACTGTTTCAATAAAATATTTGACTCAACGAGTTTGGTAATAAAGAAAAACAGAGTACTATGACTACAACTACGCTGGATTCATGTTTACCGCCATTCTATCTGGGACACAATGGGTGAAAAGGTTTCTCACTACAGAGGACTACGGTTGGACCTACATCCACTACTAAACATCGACTCCAAGTCTATAATGGAAGCTCATCTACAGCTACCACCAGGTTGGCCTCAGGTTCATCTTACCAGCAAAAAACATGGGGGACTTATGGTGCAGCTCTTCCATTTTCTGGGTAAACAGGGCGTTCATCTCGCGCTGCAGGGTCCCTACCGCCCTCTTGCGGCTGTCGAGGACAGAGCGTGGAGGCAGCATGGGAGGCGACTCCAAGCTGCTCAGACTGTCACAGCTGCTGCTGTCGCTGAGCAACAGAGCTTCACTCACAGTCAGGGGTTTTAATGGAGTGGTTGATGAGCCACAGACGGACCCGTAGTTGGGGGGGGTGGTCTGCTGCCAGCATAGGCTGGTCCTGCAGTCTGGAGCCATGCAAGGTGCAGGTGTAACGGCGTTAGGGGAGCGCCTGCGTGGAACGCTGCAGGACCGGATGCTCCTGGGATGAGCTTGAGGATGAGGCCGGAAGTGTTGGGGACCGAGAGTCTGTCTGGCCTTTGACCTGGAGAACGGGGCGGTACATAGGACAGCCTGAGGAGGCCACTGAAACTGGGCTTCCATGCAGGAAGTGGCTTTGGACAGAGGCTGCTGTAAGTCAGGAGGGGCAGCTGCTGTCTTGGCAACTGCATCTTGTCGAGCTTGTCTCTTGTCTGGGTCTGAACGAACATTTCTCTCCTGTCTGTCCACGTCCGTCTTTCCAGACTTGCCTTTTTGTGTTTCCTCAACCTTTCGTTCGGCCTCTGGACTCTCCTTGGAGCCAATCACACAGGTGATGCAGTTGGAGGACATGCCCATCCTACCTGAGCTACTGAGAGCCACTCGAGCAAACACGCCTGGCTTCATGTCCAGCGGCTCGTGAAAGCGGAGATGGCTGGCCCGCTTTAGAGGCTCACTCATGGGTCGGCGCTGAGCAAAAGGTGAGCTCTTACCTTTGCTCTCCTCTGGGTGGAGAGCTCCGTTCGTGTCAGGACGGTCCCAGGAGCCCTTGGCTTGGCGGGGGTCCACCGATTCCCCGATGTGATGCTGTGGTGAAGGAGTGAACTGGTAGGATGTGGCTGCAGATGCCCTGTCTCTGTCCTCAGACTCCCGCTCCTCACTTGCCCCCTCCGAGCTATAATCTTTGGTGTCGATGGCGAGCTCAGGGAAGCCCTTCTTAACTTTGGGCTGGCCTCTGGTGGGGGCGCTGGCGGTGCGGCGCAGGAGGTGGGCACCGAACGGGTGCTTACGGCCGGGGTGCACAACAGCATGGCTGTCCAGGGAAGCCTGCTTTGGGTTTCTGTGAAACAGACCCTTTATACCACCGGCTGCTCTGGCCTGTGGAAGAAACAGGAAGTGGTGTAAAACACTGAATCAATCAGAGGCTGATGTTTCCACATGTGAAGGGACTCATCTGTGTTAGAAAAAAAAATACACAAACCATTTTGACACAGTAAGTATGCATGCACATATTATACACACACACACATTTACAGAAGAAGCATCTGTAAATGATCAACCATACAGCATTGTGCAAAAGTTTCAAATCATCCCACATACACCCCCCCCAAGCCATTTATCTGTTAAAGTAGTCTTCATCAGCAGTCTTTGACATGTAGAAACCTAAACATTTGAATGGAAAACCGTATCCTTGAAGGTAAAATATTCCGACTCTTACTATGATAACTTGATTATTGCACATCTGGATTAACTTTCCAGCTGGACATTGTCTGTTTGTAGAACACAAAGAACTTGGCTGGGAACTAGAAAATGCTTTAACATGCTACATGTTCAGGGCCAGTTCACACTGTCTGAACACTTAGACAGTTAGACAATGATGGTAATGCTTGAGAAACTCAGGAGATGAAGATTACAACTGAGCAGAGCAAACAAAAAGGAGTGTTAGTGGGATCAGGTAGAAGGTGTCTTTCTGGCACATGGAAGAGCAGGTTGATAACAATCTAATAAACATTAGTTGGAATTAGATTCCAAAAAGAAACCGCTGTAGATCAAGGCTTTGCAACAGAGGAAGAGCACTGAACTCTGCTTTCCCTTTCTTCAGCACAAAATATCTCAAGATGAATGAAAAAAAAATGGCAGAGGACATTTCCCTTTCTTTTTCTTAATACACAGATCAAAGTGTCTGACAACATTACACAAGAAGTATAAGAATAATAAAAAATGTTTGTGTAGAAATGCACCTACAGTGTGTTAAAAAGGTATTTGTTCCCTGACAGATTTCCACACTGATGATTCGTTAGTTCATTTTTCCTAATGAACTAATTGTAATAACAGACCCAGAGGAAATTCGAAAAGGGCATTAAGGGAAAAAATCATGCGAATTACCGTGACCCTAAATCTAATATCTGCATCAAGCATTTAAAAAATGTAGAACTACAAGTTAAGTAAGTAGAAGTTAGAAACTAGAAATATGTATCTTCTCCATCGTAGACACATTTTGTTCCTCCTTTCTTTGCATATTGTTTTCATTTAGCCACAGACGGTTTTCCATCATGGTGTTTCATGCAACCACAAGTCATGCAACATCATCTGAAATGGATCACCATTGTTCCAATACTGTATACTCCAATAATACAGAACAGCTTTTGCTGTGATTGTTCCAAAGTCCTGCTAATGGTTTGTCAATGCTATCCAGACTGAAATAAGTCAAAGACTGTTTCAGGTGTTCTTAAATGTTTTGATGAGGATGTGATGCGTTTCTTTTTTTTAGATCTTTCGGCCTACTTTGTGTAATTCAAATGATTTCTTGATCCTACTGGTCTGGTAGTGATCAGGTCTGGGGCAGTGAAATTGAACTCGGCATTAAGCAAAAAGTGGTTGATCATTCAAAAACTGCATTTTGTATCGACTCATATTATCATTTCTGCTCTGCCGACTTGTTCATACATTTGCCGCGGTGCGCCACTTACACAACTATCTAGAATAAAGGTTCGGGTATATATGGAATATTCAACAATACTGATGCTAACAATTTATATAGTACACATTAGATTTAGTGGCAGTAATGAAACTAATTCTTTTCAACTTCCATGAGACAGATAGAGAACAGCTAGCTGCCACACTATTTTTACTTAGTAAAATAAAATTAAATAAAAAGATTAACCATGTAACAATTAACTATGTAATTCCTCTAACCCTCGTAAGAAGGGCTGTGTTTGTGTAATGGTGGTGTGAGCTTTGACAGTATTTGAATCTCCATCTATTGAAAGCTGCTGTGTTCACCGAGTGTCTGGAAAATACTAAAAAGGACCTTTTGATGCGTCATGATGCTGGTCCTGCCCGGTTTATTGGAGTTTGTTGTAAATTTCACCTTGATGTCAATTATTTTTTTCCCCAAACGATATAATATCAGGAGTGTAGTTGAGGACTGAAAGTGAAGACAGCCAAACAGATTTCTTGACATGGTATTTCTGATGTTGGATCTACTCGGGGGGGGGGGGGTAAATGAATGCAGCCAGTTCAAGGCTTCATAACTCATGTGCAGCATGAGTTGGCCTGAGTTCCTTATGCCAGAATATGGCTGATAAGTGTGTTGGGTGGTGGATTGTTAAGGTGGAGGTTGTGGCTCATGCAAGATGCCAACTGGAGCTCACTACACCTGAGATTTAAGTTGCAGCTTCAAGGCTCCTAAAACTGTCCTGCCATTAGAGTGTGGTAAGAGGCGGTTCCACTGAAATCAGAAACAGACACAGGAAGAGAGGGAAAAATCTGAGAGAGGATGAAAGAGGGGGGAAAAGAAGATGTGGGGTGGACCGAGACAGAAATCACAACAGGAAGCACACAGAGACAGCAGAGAAAAGGAAGTTCAAAGTGAGGACATTATGAAGAACAAAGCGGTCATTCACAGCATGGCTGGAGACACAGAGAGAATCCAGACAAACGAGACAAAAGAAATACAATGAAAAGCCAAATGGTGATCTAGTGCTGCTTTATATACTAATGTTAAACCTGACACTTTACTTAAAAAGTAATAAGAAATAAGTTACTGCTACAGGAAAATGTTATACCACCATATGTAAATAAAACATTTTCTATAAAAGTTACATACTGCAGGTTTGAAGTGTCTCTCGTTAAGGCGGAGAAGTGAGGCTCAGACATTCATGAGTAGAAATCGGATCTCCTCACACACATGAAAAGTTCACGTACTTGCAAACACCTACCAAAGTTTGACTTTTAGTATATCAGCATCCCAAGATTGTGACGGTCTCAGCAAATTTAGCAAACTAGTGTTGTTCTTCAGTCTACCAAGTTCATAGAGTGTTGAATTAAAAGCAAGAGGAGATCTTTTGCTCCCTGGAGACATTTCACCTCCTCTGAATGGCTTCTTTAAAGGCTGATGACAAGTTAAGATGCAAAACTCTTGGCCATTAATCAGAATGCATCCAATCACTCCACAGACCAATCTATAAACACTGAATAAAAACTGAAGCAGCAGAGTTTGCAAAACACGTTCTTTTAACCGTTCAACCTTTGGCTGTGCATTTCCTGAAACTCCAACAGACAGAATGGCCTGATTGGTTAGAGAATGTTCCCCAGAGCATTCTCTGCAAGTCAACCACTACTAGCACACAATCAGGTGTGAAAAGACCCAGGCCTGTGTCAAACATAGAATTAGAGAAGAGGATGGCCTCCTCAGGAAGTACCTACCTTACCGGTGATGTCATTCACAGCCACATGAACAAAAATGGAAGCTTCCTCCATACCTTCCAGGTAAACGTGGCGATAACCTGCACACAGATCCCAGCATCAGTAATTCTGAGGACATACACTTGTGTAGCATACTAACAAGCCATTTTTAGGAGATTAAGACGTCTTTGTGTGCGTTTGGTGAAAGACCTGGGGTGGCAGGGCAGGATGGAGGGTTGAAGTCAACCTACTGCCTTGAATCGGCAGATTTAGAACAGGGAGCGAGTGAGGTCCAGACTAAAACAAATAGTGGCTACCTCATTTCTAGCCATCAACACACTGAACAGATCACTAGACTTCAGCTAAGTGTTCTTTCTTCAGTAGCAGCTATTGAATACAATAAGAGCATAATGGTGTCCAAACACCAGCAATGCTTTAAATTTCAGGAGTATCCAGGCAATTATTTCATAGGCCATGCTCTACAGCAGCTCAGTTGAGGTCCGCTACATGAGTCATGTGGTTCTGGAATGCCAGCTTGGTTTTTGACAGCCCACATGTGCAAAATGTCATTGGCTTGATTTATGGTAGAATGAAGACAGGAAGAACAGAGAGGCTGCGATGTGCAGGTTTCCATTAATTATTTACATTGTCTACAATTTTCACCCATTTTATTTGCCCCAGTTTTACCTTATCATCATGTCAATGAGCAGAAACTGAATCATGCAGTAAAAAATTCTACGATTCATTTTAGACAGAAACTTAGTTTGGTTTAGTTGTTTTTATGTGTAAAATATCAGTTGTTTTGCCAAATTATTCTTATCGAGATTTTACACTTTGAAAATACAATCAAGTCTGAATAAAGTTCCTCTATAATTACTACATGATAATAACATACAAGTATAAGCTAGTTTTAGGGATAAACTTGACATTCTTACAAGTTAAAGCTGTGCAGTTTTTCTGCTTATATCTACAAAAGAACATTTTGTTTCATGAAAATGACCCTTCTCAGAGTACAGCACTAATAGGATCCAGTGTAATCTGCTTTGATATTTTTTTTTATTATATCAAAATAATGCTCCTTCTTAAATATAAAGCTGGTAATCAACAGAGCTGCTGTTTAAAATCATTTTCAGGGACTGGAAGTTTTGATACTGATCACTTCAGAGAAATAATAAACCAACCATCAGAACAGAAAAAAAAAGAAAGCACTATTTGCAGACAACTATTCATTTGTCTTTCAATTAGGTAATAGGTCAAAGAGAAACAGTTGGAACCTGGCTTTTAGAGATGTGATCTATCGATGTGGTCATCGTCTCCGATTCCTACCTGGCATCATGCTGTGGAAAGCGATGGTCCGCTGTCCGATGAAGTCTTGGCCGATGGGGTCATGATCCCACACAAGGAAACGCACAAGGGCCAGCTCCGGCATGTGAACCGTGAAGACCAGAGTCTCCTCCCACATCGGATTGAACCCTGGAAGAGCCAAGAGTGAGGTCACGGACCAGGTGAAGGTGGATATGGAGGAGGGCAAAGGAAAAGGTGGAGGCAAGTGGAGGAGGACAAGAAGAAAGATGCGAAAAATAAATGGAGATTGTGCAGAAAAAGAGAAAGAAGGGTGCAGGAGACGAACAGAAAGTGAGCTCTGTGCTCATTCATTATTCAGGATTTTGTGGGAGACAGAAACAGCAGACTGAGAGGTGCTGTCGCTGCACATTACGATGTGGTATTCAGTTCTACATCAGGAGCCAAACATGCAGTTCCAACACTGAAGGTGAGAGTCTGATTCAGCAGCAGCAGCACCACAAACATGCGCGGGTCAAAGCAGAGCACCTCTGTCCCCACACACACCGTCACACCAAACGAAATATTTATGCACTAATACAAGCATTAACTGGAGCACACAGAGTGACAGCATGCTAGGATGATCAGGTGGGTGGTAACTTATCAGTTAGCAAACAACTCACCGTTGTCATCCACCACTCTGGTCTGCTCTTTGCAGCAGTCCACTGGGAGGCCGATGATCTCCACCTCCACAAACGGATCGATAATCTGAAACAATGATGTCACAAAGCATTAAGGAGATAATAGAAAAACAACAAAACTCTCCTCAGTAAACCAGACCAACCAATGATATTATTAACACAGTTGCTAAGGAGACAGAATGTGCACGGGTGGACAGGTTTGACGTGCGACATCTGAAGGAAAGTAACTTTATCAATATCCTCTGGACAACATCTCTGTCTCTCTCTCTCTATTATAAATATATGCAATAAAAATGGCAATAAATTTGCACTTACAATAATAACACAAAAGCTAGCTAGCCAGGTGTAAGGGTATATGAGTAGTCAGTTAGGAGTAACCTGGACTCAAGACACAGAAAGTAAGGAAGATGTCTGCATGCCAAAGAACTGGTGGGGCGCCACTTAAACTTTTGCCTGACAGAAAAGTTTAAAAAGCTGTCATGACAAAACTTAAAATCCTGTCAGTCACGTATTTTATACCAACATACATTTATTGAAATTAATTCAAGATATTTTAAGTCCTTAACCTTAGATACATTAATGTATTAGTTTTTAAGGATGTGAGAGCACCTTAATAAGTCTGTATATAAACCTGTGGTTTATATACAGACTTAGCAAAAATAAACTACAACAGTATAACGGTAGTTCTCCACTGCAGCAATGACACTATGGACCTCACTATAATGCTTCCTCTGTTTGCTTTCAGCTGCTGCAGGTGACTCTAGAGCAACAGAGGAATCTACAGGATAAATACAAAGTGCTATACAAAGATGAGTGTGTTATCTGACTGATTGTCCAGTTTTCAGGGATATTGAGTGTCATTTGTGCCAATATACACAAATCACAGCAAACTCTGTGATTTTGCTGCGAGTTGTGTGTAATGCTGCCCTTTGGAGGTGACAGGGAGAAACAACCTCTACAGAGCAGTAGGAGGGGTGTGTGTCTTGTAAACAAAGGAATCAGGCCCACCTCTCCTCTGTCTCCCAGCATTGAATCTTTGGGTTTGGGCAGCTGTTGTCCACTGATTATCTTTAACACCAGCTGTTTCTTCATGCGGCCTGGCAGGGGGTCCTCCAGGTTCGGGTTAAAGGCACCTGAAGCCGGTGGGACAGATTTGTTCAAAAGAGAACTGATGAGCCCACTGTAGAGAAGTGGAAAGGCTACGGAGCACATGCAGGTAGAGAGTAAACTGTCTGAAGGAATATTTCCTGAACAAACCTTCACACATGCAGGCGGGTTTGAGGATGTAGCCACAGTTCCCGTTGCTGTAGAATTTAGCTCGGTTGAGCTGAAGGACCCGCCCCTCAGACTGGTAATTCAGAGCAACTGAAATCACAATAATGTAGAGTAAAATAATATATTAGATATTAGACTGAGGAGCAGAATAACTAGATAATGTCTTCAAGGCTGTGGAAGCAGCAGAAAGCAGATCTGAAAGTGTGGCGCTGTAAACTGAAAGTCCATATTCATCCAAAATGGCTGGCTGAGCTCTTACCGAGCTGGCAGCCGCTGCTCCAGAAAGGCTGGGGGTTGAAATTAGAGGAGTCCACCCGGTAGGAGGACGGGTAGATCCGGGACAGCTGGCGCTGGTTGAACTGGATGAAGGATCCAGCTTTCTGTTGCATCAGCTGATGGGCTTTGGTCTCGCTCAGAGACGACACCTGCCAGCTGCAGTTAGCTGCCACACAAAACAAACAGCTAATTCGCAGAGAACAGTGCAATTTGCATGGATTATGTAGTTTAGAGGCATGAATTGTAATCCACTTCGTTAGAGCTGAGTGGAGTAGTTTTGAACAGTCAGTATCTTTCCTACAATAAGACAGTCTAAGGTTTCAGTTTGGTGAATCAGAAAAAAATTTAGTTGTTGATAGTACAATGATCACTTAGTGAAGGTATTTGTACTGTCTACTCAGAACTAACCAACTACACTCCAGCTAAAAAAGCACAATAAATAAATCCAATTAAATCGTGTGCACAGCCTGATGATGATTTTACACTCACCTTGGGCTTCAATATCATACAGACCCACAGAGCAGGTGTACTTCACCAGATCAGACAGGGCTCTAGAGAGCTTCATGGTCTTCTTCTTTCTGTGGGGCCAATGAAAGGGTTAAAATATTAGAAATCCATACAGTAATTACATTAAAAAGAAGAGGAATTGATCAAAGTGCAACATTTACATTAACCAGAAAAGGTTGTTTCAGGGTTCACAGCTGTGACTTGCTGACTCAGCATGATCACATTTCTCTCGGAGGCCACAGGAGTTAAAACGGGTACAGTAAGAAAGGCCCTTGCTAGTCACCATCAGTGCGCACAGAGTACTGAAGGTGTGTGTTTCTGGGACACGTACTTGTTGTGGTGGGGTGGAGCTCGAGAAGCGCTGCTTGTGCTCTCCTGGTCCGTGTCTGTATCTTCGTAGCTCGACGTCTTCTTCAACTTTGACGACTTTTTCTGTGAAAACACTGAGCAGGTCACCTGACAGGCAGCATGGGAAACACAAACTCATTGAATTGTGTCCACACAAGCTCCATTTCAATTTAAAACTTAAATCTCCAAGAGTTTACAGGGAACTTATTTGTGTGAACAAACTACTTCCTTTATTGTCATTTCTAGACTGACTGAGGCGTTCGGAGGGCGAAACATCAGGGCCAACCTTGCGCTTGGAGAAGCTTCCGATGAAGGAGCGGCTGGAGCGCTTGGTACTGCTGGGGTTGGTCTCATCGGCTGTGTCTGTCCCCTCATCACTTTTACCCTTTAACCGGAGAAGAAAGTCATTTTCCTTCAAACAGGAATGGAGAAGTCGAGAAGGAACCAAAAGGGTTCTACCTATTCACATAGTCCAGGACTCTGTTCAGATCCTGGTTTCACAGACAGCATTACACAAATATGTAACTATGTAAGAACTCAAACTGCTTTAAACCTTTGGCTCAGACTTATTTTGTCTCAAATCTAAAAACATTAGGAGATTAGAACTTACATTAAGGACTTATTGCAAAAGTTTGGATAGCCTAAATATAAATAATGGTAACATTTAGAAAATACAAAAATACACTGTATAAAAGTCTTCTTTTTGCTCTGATCTGTAGATGAGTAATTTGCAAAAATTCAATGGTATCCACATAGAGATAATTAAAATAAAATAAAGATAATTCATCCAAAACCAGAGAACAGTATTGGTTTGCAGTGATTAGGAAGTGGGAGAGCCTTGTGGCAAAACTCGCTGCTCTCTGAAGAGCAATTGGTGCTTCACATGTCACCATAAAAATCTCCAACAACAGATAAAAGTCGCTAGATTTGTCGCTCGCCGCTTTCTTAAAATATGTCACGACAGGGGTACCAAGCAAGGGTACAAAGTTAGCAACAGTGTTTCTTTTGTCCTGACTGCAACTTGTTTCACACCACTCCTCCCAGTCTTGACCACACCCCTTAATGTCTCCTAAAAACTATTTTAGATCATTGTCATGAGTACATGCATAAATCAGCTGACTGTCACCACTCACCTGTGTTCTCCATAACAACAAGATGTCAGACATTGTGTCCTCAACATGACGATCCTGACTGAGTTAGTTGGGTAAATAACAAGCTTGTTCTTTATATTCTGTGTTTACCTTGATGTCACTCTTATCAAGGGTCTTCCCACTTGGTGGGAGGCCAGCGATGGTGAAGCTGTCCGGATCCTCCCGGTCTCGGATCTTGGACTCTTTCATCAGGTTGTCCAGTTTTTTCTTAGCCATGTTTTCCACCTGCTTCCTGTTAGCTGATGTCTGTAAGACAGAGCAACAGCTGAAGGTTAGATGGTGAATGGCATAACGCTCAGATTCAGTCTGTGAATGTTTCTTCTTGAACAGAGAACATCACATTCACACTGATGTGTCAAACAAATGTGTCTGCAGCTCTGGTAGAGTTATATAGAGGAGTTCAACAGATCGTCAGCCTCCAACAGTTCAAATGAAAGACATTCTCCTAAGCTGTTCAAGAGCAATGCTGTCTTCACAGACACAGGTTTAGTTTGAGTAGAATGCACATGCACAGTTCAGCCACAAGATGGCAGATGTGATCAATAACTCACAAAAGTCAGATCCACATGAAATTAAGTCGGAGGAATTATTTTTACTTTGAATGAATATTTCACTGCAGGATCATTTCATTGAAACGTTTGAAAGAATTGTTAGCTGAATGCTGCATTTTCTTCTTCCTATAATAAACAAAATGAATCCTAGAAAAAAAAAACTTCATCCATTAACTGAAAACGAAACAGCAGATCCTCAGGATAAACAGGATTATCTGTTCTGATGTGTTTAAAAACCGTAAACTATATTAATCGGCCTACTTTTTTTTTTTTTTTTTACTTTTCACATTGAAGTGCTAAATTTAAGCACTTCTGTAATGTCGCTGGAAAAAGATTAAAATCATTTCTCTTAAATAAATGTTGTTTCGGTCGGCTTCATGTGTCTAAATGGTTCCTTCTGAGGAGAGCTGAGGCAACATTCTGACGCCCAACAGCTTGAAGCTAAACAGGCAGGATGAGAGCGGATGGAGCATGACTGAGATGGCTAAAGATGAAGTCTTTGATACAATACCTTCCACTTTAAGGAGTTAGCACATGTTCAGGAAAAGAAGAGAGGAGAGCA